AACGGCGCCGGCAAGTCCACCCTGGTGCGCACGGCGGTGGGCGTGCTGCGGCCCGATCGCGGGCGCGTCTGGCGGGCGCCGGGCCTGCGCCTGGGCTACGTGCCGCAGCGCCTGGAGATCGACTCCACCCTGCCGCTGACCCTGCGCCGCTTCATGACCCTGACCGGCGCGCACGACCCCCGCGCGGTGCGCGAGGCGCTGGAGGAGGTCGGCGTCGCGCAGCTCGCCGGCGAGTCGCTGCACACCCTGTCCGGCGGCGAGTTCCAGCGCGCGCTGATCGCCCGCGCCCTGGTGCGTCGGCCCGACCTGCTGGTGCTGGACGAGCCGGTGCAGGGCGTCGACTTTGCCGGCGAGATCGCGCTCTACGAGCTGATCCGGCGGCTACGCGACCGGCTGAACTGCGGCGTGCTGCTGGTCTCCCACGACCTGCACCTGGTGATGGCGGCGACCGACACGGTGGTCTGCCTCGACGGCCAGGTCTGCTGCACCGGCACGCCGCGGGCGGTGGCCGAGAGCCCCGCCTACCGCGAGCTCTTCGGCCCGCGCGCGGCCGGCGCCCTGGCGGTCTACGCCCACCACGACCATGACCACGGCGAAGGCCACGACCACGGCGAAGGCCACGACCACGGCGAAGGCCATGACGACGGCCATGACCACGACGACGGCCACGACATAGACCGCGACCGCGACGGCGGCCCCGCCACGCAAGGGGACGACTGAGGCGATGCTGGATGACTTCTTCCTGCGCGCCCTGCTGGCCGGCGCCGGCGTCGCCCTGGTGGCCGGCCCGCTCGGCTGCTTCATCGTCTGGCGGCGCATGGCCTACTTCGGCGACACCATGGCCCACTCGGCCCTGCTCGGCATCGCCCTGGCGGCGCTGCTGGAGGTCAACCTGACCCTCGGCGTCTTCCTGGTCGCCGCCGCCGTGGCGCTCGCGCTGCTGCTGCTCTCGCGCAACCGGGCGGTGCCGACCGACGCCCTGTTGGGGCTGCTCTCCCACTCCACCCTGGCGCTCGGCCTGGTGCTGATCGCCTTCCTGACCTGGCTGCGCGTCGACCTGACCGGCTTCCTGTTCGGCGACATCCTGGCGGTCTCGCGCTTCGACCTGGCGGTGATCTACGGCGGCGGACTGCTGGTGCTGGCGCTGCTGGCGCTGATCTGGCGCCCGCTGCTGGCCGGCACCGTCAGCCCGGAGCTGGCCGCGGCCGAGGGCCTGCGGCCGGAGCGCGCGCGCCTGGTCTTCATGCTGCTGATGGCGGCGGTGATCGCCAGCGCCATGAAGGTGGTGGGCATCCTGCTGATCACCGCGCTGCTGATCATCCCGGCGGCGACGGCGCGGCGCTTCGTCGCCACGCCCGAGGCCATGGCGCTGGGCGCCGGCCTGACCGGAATGCTGGCGGCCGGGCTGGGCCTGTTCGGCTCGCGCAGCTTCGACACCCCCTCGGGCCCCTCGATCGTGGTCGCCGCGCTGGCACTGTTCCTCGCCAGCCTCGTCCTCGGCGCCCTGCGTCCGAAGTAGGCCCGCCGGCGCCGCACCGCGCGGCGGCAAGTTGGGCCCGGCGGTTGCGCGGGGCCCGCCCGTCCTTTATCAAGCGCGCGGTATCCACCGCGCGTCCGACCGTCTCGTCCGGGCGCCGGCCTTCGCGTCCCGATCTCCGCAGCAGCAAACGTCCCCGGCATCCCATGAGCCTGCGCATCCAGCCGATCTCCGGCTTCCCCGAGTTCCTGCCCGAGCAGCAGATCGCCATCAACCGCGCGGTCGACGTGATCCGCGCCACCTACGAGTCCTTCGGCTTCCTGCCGATCGAGACGCCGGCGGTGGAGCGCACCGAGGTGCTGCTGGCCAAGGGCATCGCCGAGAAGGAGGTCTACGGCCTGCGCCGGGTGCAGGAGGAGGCGGGCGAGGAGGGCGCCAAGGAGCTGGCGCTGCGCTTCGACCTGACGGTGCCGCTGGCGCGCTACGTGGCGCAGCACTACGGCAAGCTGCGCTTTCCCTTCCGCCGCTACCAGATCCAGCCGGTCTGGCGCGGCGAGCGGGCCCAGGCCGGGCGTTATCGCCAGTTCGTGCAGTGCGACATCGACGTGATCGGCGAGGAGACGCTGAGCCTGGAGTACGACGCCGAGATCCCGGCGGTGATCTTCCAGCTCTTCCGCCGCCTGGGCATCGGCAAGTTCACCATCCGCGTCAACAACCGCAAGATCCTCACCGGCCTGTTCCAGGCGGTCGGACTGAGCGACGACCTGGCCGTGCGCGCGGCGCTCAACGTGGTCGACGACCTGGAGAAGATCGGCGCCGGCAAGGTGCTGCACAAGCTGGGCGAGCTGGGCCTGGCGGCGGAGCAGGCCGAGCGCATCCTGCACTTCTTCGACACCAAGGGCAGCAACGCCGAGATCCTGGCGCAGCTCAAGGCGATGGAGGTCAACGAGACCTTCGCCGAGGGCGTAGCCGAGCTGGAGGCGGTGGTCGCCGCGGCGCCCGACCACGTGCTGGCGCGCCTGGACGACGGCGAGCTGGTCGATGTGACCGACGAGCGCGCGCTCTTTCCCGACTACTTCCGCATCGACCTGTCGATCGCCCGCGGCCTCGACTACTACACCGGCACGGTCTACGAGACGCGACTGGACGACTACCCGCAGGTCGGCTCGATCTGCTCCGGCGGGCGCTACGACAACCTGGTCGGCACCTTCGTCGACAAGACCTTCCCCGGCGTCGGCATCTCCATCGGCCTGACCCGCCTGATGAGCCGCCTGTTCGATGCCGGCCTCGTCACCGCCGAGGCCGCCGCCATCGCCCCGGTGCTGGTCACCGTGCAGGACCGCGCCGCCCTGCCCGCCTACAAGGCGCTGGCCGCGCGGCTGCGCCGCGCCGGCATCGCCACCGAGGTCTTCCTCGACGACCGCAAGCTGAAGGCGCAGCTCCGCTACGCCGACCGCCGCGGCTTCCCGATCGTGATCATCGCCAGCCCCGAGGAGCTGGAGGCCGGCGAGGTCGTGGTCAAGAACATGCGCTACAACCAGGAAGACCGCGTCGCCATCGCCCAGATCGGCCCGGTCATCCGCAGCCTGATCCCGGTCGGCTTCGAATAGCCGCGCCCGGCCCGGCCAGGAAGCCGCGCCGCGTCAGCAGGGCCGCAAGCTCCTCGTCGCGCCAGCCGGACAGGGCGAGCAGGGCCCGGTAGGGGTCGCCGGGCAGCGCCAGGACCTGCGCGAAGGCCGGCTCGGTCTTCAGGCCGCGCAACCGCGCGCGCAGGACGGCCGCGCGCAACCCGGGCCCGGCCAGCTCCAGCAGCCGCCGCTCGACGCGGAAGTGCCGCCAGCCGACCTGCTCGGCGACCGGCCGCACATGCCCGAAGATCTCGAAATCCCAGGTCTCGGCCGCGAAGGTGGCGATCACCGGACGCTCGCGGCCGCTCCACTGCCGGATCGCGAAGCCGTCGAAGTGGGCGCAGGCGTCCCAGACCGCTTGCGTGAAAAGCTCGGCGTCCGGCGCATGGCACAGAAGGTCGATGTCGCTGCCGGGCAGGTCGAGCCCCAGCGGCGGCGTGCCCGCCACGCGCGGGTCGAACCGCGCGAGCTTCGTCGGGAGGCCGAGACGACGGAGGGCCTCGGCGTACTGCAAGCGCCCGCCCCCCCTGCCTTGCCGTCGGTCCTGCGTCACCGCCCGTACCTCCGAACCGGCCCCGCCGGCGCGAGAGCCGACTGTGATCGTTTGGACCCACAGCGTGGGTCCGCCGATCACAAGAAACCTGCTCTACACCAAAGGGCTAGAGTAATTTTTCGCGACCGCCGGACGCGCT